TTCTCCCCAAGCCTAGCGTTGCATGGGGTTGTTGTGGCCGAAGTGCAGGACCCGGCACTTGGCCTTAAATAGTATCTCATAGTGGCAGCTCATAGATTGAGATTTGGTATTTTTTGGCTAAGTTAAGACTGATAAGTATAATGTATTAGAGAGGAACCAACAGACAGATGACCTGGTCGTATATACCTTGTTTCAACAGGGAACCAAGCTGAAAATATTTATAGTTTAGTGAAAGATACTGCCCTAGCTCACATGCCTGCACTCCTATGGAAAAAATCCCTGTGCAGACACTTGGAGAAACAGCTTCATCTGAGCTTGGTGGAGGGCGTGCCACATGGAGGAACCTGGTTTTGGCAAAGCCTTTGGGTTTGTGTTTCTACTGAGGAAAAAATGTTTTTCTTTATCATTAGCTGCTGAAGGACTGCTCAGGGAAGGTGTTGCAGTTCACCTTCTGCAGCATGGTGTCATGATACTGGAGATGGGGTGAAAGTGTAGACTACATCTTTAGATGTGATGATCATGATGAATTGCTTCAGTGGACAGCGAGAACAAATAATGGGCCTTGGAAGAAGGCCAAATTAGTAGAAACAACAAACCACGTTATTGCAGCTTCTGAGTTACAACCTAGATTAGGGGATATAGAATAGGTGTTCAACAAAAAGCCAGACTCAGCTGGATTTTAAAAGCCAGTGCCATAGCCAGCGTATGTTCCAGGAAAAGGAGTCTCTTCTGCCTTTTCTGGTAAGAAAACTTTTAAGTCACCTACGTGCTGCTGTCACATGCTCCCGGGAGGTCACTGAGATCATTGCAAATCAACCTATCAGACTTAGGAGATTACATTAACAACTGCACTGCCTTTCTTTGCATGCTGACCATACCTATCTGCAGTATACAGCAACAGGGTAACAAGCAGAAATGATTGCAAGACATTTGAGGGGAACCACTGAGGTACTACTTCTGAGGATAGACACAGCCTTTCCCCTGCCTCCCCATGCCCTGTATTTCCTACACAAAGTGTGGCGTCCCTTTGAGAGGGGACGTGTCAGAACGTGAGTTCCAGCAAGAGCATCCAGCCTTCTGCTTACCTGCGCTGTGCCTGCGGCCGCTACCTCACAGCAGCAGCTCAGATGTTCTCACCCCTGGCACCGTGGTGAGTCCCTGCTCAGAAAAGGCCTCCCATCAGCTACCACTGAGGGGACTGCAGGAACTGCCCATGGCCACAGAAACGACATGTGCTCTGGCTCTTCTGGGAAGACCTCTACTCTTCCTGCTCTGTACATGTACTTGTGTGGAAGGCAGGAGAGCAGGAAGAAAGTCTGGGCCACAGCTCCGCTTCCAAAATCAGATCACAGTGTGGGGTGAGATGGGACATTTCTTCCCGAGGAAGAAGACAGGTAGCATGAGCTACAAGGGGAGCCTCCAGGTGAGGAAGGGGAAGTGCACACCAAAACGTGGGGGAGATGAGCCTGGGTACCAGTGCAGTTTTGATACTGCCATGGAGTTTTTAAAGTGACTGGTCTGGTGCTTTCTTTTTTCACTGTAAGCCAAAAATATTTCCTGGCTTTTTGTCATCAGAAAGCCCAGAAATAATTTTCTGCTGTTTCTGCATTTGTACTGAATTCAGTGGAGCCAGAGGAGCTTATAACAGCTGAGAATCTGTTTCATACCTAGTTTTAGGGCTAAGTCCCCACTCTTCCCATTTAATAGGTAACTCCTCCTTCCCCATCCCACCATTCCACACTGAGCACTGCCTTACAGAGTTGTTCAGGTGCTTTCTGTAGTCAGTGGTAACAGACAGGCCCCTTCCAAGGGGTATGCTTGCTTTCTGTCCTAGACCTTGCTCTTCCTCCTCTTATTACAACTACAACTAATTTAAACTTCACAAGTTTTAAATGGGTAAAGTTAGATTTTTAATTATCTCAAGTTAGGCAAGGTGAATACTGTTCCATGTGTCTACACTTGTAGGTTAAAAAAAAAAAATCACTTTTTAAGGTTGTTTGGAAAGATTTAGCCTTAGTAGATTTTAAATGAGATTTGACTTGAACAACCACTGTTAAACTGGATTGTTTTAGCAGCGTAGCCAGAAACCTCATAAGCCCAAATAATGCATTAAAGGATTAATTTCTTTACAATAAATTAGAACTTTTAAAAGCAACAAATGCTATAGTATGCTACTATATTTGAATTATAACTTTTTCATTAAAGTGAAGCTGTAGAACTTTTTCTAAGGAGAGCTTAAAAAAAATTTTTTATCCCAGAGTTTAGATGAAGAGGAAAGAATACGGTGATGCAAAGCACTATGGAGGGTGGGACGTCTAATGTTCACAACGAACAATTGTGAGGAGAGAATTGGCCAAAAAACAAACAAACCCAACAACAGTATTTCATACCAGTCCTGCACTGCATTGAAGGAGTCTTCGCTGGTGATATCATACATGAGGATGAAGCCCATGGCTCCTCGGTAGTAGGCTGTAGTGATGGTCCTGTATCTTTCTTGTCCAGCTGTGTCCTGGAACAGAAAGGAATATTTAGGCTTTAAGACTTCAGTTCTCAGAAATAGGAGTTGTAGTTAGGTCCTATATCTAAAATAAGGCAACCACCTTTTGTTATTATACATGTCAAAATTCTCATTTGCTCCCAACTGAAATGAACTCTACTTACATTTTAGCATTAATTGGGCTTTTGCATCAACTATGATTTGTTAAATGCATTTTGACACATGTACTCTTAAAAAAATACCAAAGATGACAACCCTTTAACTGCTCTTCTCTGCCTCAGCCTCAATGCAATAATAAAATGTTAGCAGAGTTCACTGAAAGCTGACACTTCAAAGCAGAGGCAATAGAAAACAGTCCAGGACTGTACCAGGCAAAAGACATTTACATGTTGCAATTTAGTGTCATGGTCAGGAAAATGTCTTTGAGATAGATGCTGTGGGTGACCAGGTTCTTACCTGAGGTTAGAGACAACAATTAAAGACTTGATGGAGTGAAAATTATTCCAGAAAGTGAATTTAATGTGGAATATCCCAATCACGATGTCCGAGGCGCACATACTAATTTGAGATTTACTAATCTTCTTCCATTGGTCCAGCTTAATTCTCTTTACCTACAGAGTGCTGCAGAATACCTCTACCTGCAGTTGTCATTTCTATGTTCAGCCTGGCAGCACAAAGGTGAAACTCTGGCATATACAACAGAAGAATTTCAAAAGACTTGTGACAGCTGGAAAACATGTCAGCTACTATCTGTTGGATGCCAACAACATTTATTCCTCACATTTTGGGTGCCTGCTCTTAAACTGAGGAATATTTCTACATCAGATCAGCGTTCCTGCAGTCAATCTGTTCCCTCTGGACCTGCCTTCTGAACCAAGGAGAGAAGTCGCGTGCTTAATGTATCTCTCATTCAGGAAGTATCTATCATTTGAACAAACACATTTCATCCATCTTTTGGTAAACGGCAACTCTGTGAAACAGCTGCAGGGAGGCAAAAGGCCTTACCTTCAAAGCACGTTCAGCATAAGGTGTTGACTGCTAGTAACTCTTATGGGTTAGCAGTTCTGAAATGAATGGTCCTTTAGTCCTCCAAAACCCACACTTAAGAAAGCATTTACTGCCACTGGTTTAAAATGTGATTAAAGTTTCTCTTCTCTAGAGAAAAAGACCCTAAAGGCCTTATCAATCATATAGCTAGTTGGAAGAGTAAAATAAATCCATGTAGAGCACTCTTGTAGGAGCATAGAGCCAGTTTCTGATCAGACGCAGCACATCACCACAACCCCAGAAAACACACAAGGTGCAGTGGGTGGGAGACTACTCAGCTTTAAAATCCTCCTGTCTATCATTCCCATACGTGCAGCTTTGGTTTTGCTGCGTGCAAGAGACAGTGTTGGCCCTTCCAGAGCACATGCTAGCCAGTCTATGAAAGGGGAAAACATCAGTGATCGCCTGTTGTTCTGCACCAGAGTATCACAGAGGCTCTCTGTAGGAGGAAAGTGCTTGTAAATAAGCTCCCTGCAGCTTAAAAGGCTCTCCCTATTGCACTACTGTGAGACTATCCACAGCTGTAACACACCGCAAATATCCCAGTGGAGAGATTATGCAGCTGGAATCTTGCTATTTCTCTACCACACTTCGGGAAAAAGAAGGGATTTTTCCCTGAAACTTATGCGTTTATTTCAAGACAGGGTAGTCCATTGGCTGATCACAGTGAGGCATTGCACACTGACTGAGAAAGAGTCCTCCTGTTCCCTCCTGACAAGAAGTACCAGAATGAGGTGGACTACACCTCACAGCCCGAGTGACCATTTCTTCTCCTGTCATTGATGAATCCGTCACAGAGCACTCTCATATTCACTGACATCGCATCCTTGCTTAGCTGCTGAACAGCTAAACCAGCTGTGCCAGCTAGATCCTAACTATACTTCTTCAAGTGAGAAAGGTCTCAGCAGCAATAGCATCATTTTGTTTATTCAGAGACGTGATAATTGCTTTATTTTAGCCTGATTTCCTAAGGACATGAGGCTATGAAATCATCAGTCTCCACACGTGCACATGTATATGCTCATTATAACTCTACTGACTTTTGATCAAATTTGACTGAGGGGAAACGCTCTCAAAGGTACGTTCTTACAAATGTTGCAAAAATAGTTGGTGAGGTGAAGAAGAGAGACCTTAAGCATACCTTAGCTAGGGAAAAAAGCTTAAGTGCAATGCTTATCTTTTTCTGACACCAAAGGATCCACAGGGGAGAGGCTTTCTTCATGCCTCATTAGCAGAGAGACCTAAATCAGTATTAGTAACTTCTCAGATCCTGCAACCAACAAAAAGAAACAAATCCATAGGAAGTTGGGCTTCTTCAGTTCTCATGCTCACAGCGTTACTGTTTTACACCTGCATTCCCAAGTTCTTCTACCTCCCAAATCTCATCTTCTATTTTCTGCTCTGTGTTTAACTAGCACTCATTTTGGCTTAGGGCATGAGGCTGTGACCAGGCAGAAAGCAACTGCAAGACACATTGTCTACCTATATGCAGAATAATTTGGAAAGAAATTAAATTTGACAATAACATGGAGCAAGGAGTTAGCTCTGAGGATGTACATCCAGGCTGTCCTGGGAAGCAGCCCCAAGGGACTCTGAGGGTGGCTTCCAAAACCTGCCCTGGTACCATCTCAGTGCCGCGGCGCAACTAGGAACTGGACTCAGCCCACAGAGTTTGTCTGTGTTAAAGGCAAACTGTGCTATTGCCTGAAACCTCTGAAATTTAGCAATTCTGGTTTGTTGATTTCAGTATTCTGCCTGCAAACCCCCCCTGTGTGTGTGTGCCCCGATTTATATGTTAGCGAGAGACAGGGACATGGCTGCAGGAGGTACAGAACCCCAAAGGGCTACATGCATTTGCTTAGTCATAACCTGTTCTCTGGTGGGCAGTGCACTTACCTCATTAGGAAGGTAATTTGCATATTCATTAGTTTATACTTAGGTACCTGCCTTCTCAGGTTATCAGAGGGGGTGTGGGGAGGGGGAAAGGCATCCTATATTTCATGGTACGTAAAGTTTATTCATAACCTTGCCCTGGTAGTCTTGTGGTACAATGCAGAGATGTGATTCATCTCTATGTGAGTCACTGATGGGTTCCTCACTCTGTTTTACTGTACAGGCACAGAGCATGTCAACTCCCCTTAAAGGTTTTTAGTTGCATTTCTCCAAATCCATTTGAATCTTTGTAATATCACCTTGAAGTGAATTTTTCTTCAGGTTATGTTAGCTTCTTAGACAGCTATAAACTGGCTTAATTTTCTTGACTCATACCATGTTTTATGCTAGCTTCAGTGAGCAAACCCCCCCCCCAGCTACTTCAACATAAATAAAATAAAACAAACTGCAAAATCTGAGCTCAGTTTCTTCAGCATTCACAGTAGCTGCCCTTACATCAGTTTAAAACACCACAAACCTTAGGTAATCAGGCATTTCAGGTTTTTATGTGCAAGATGTTTATCTAACGAAGGAGAAAATAACTGATGCAGATTGTTTTTTTTACCACCCCCCCAAAGTTGCTTGCAAGATTTCCAGGTAGACCACAAACTCATTAGAAGACAAGTAGACAAGGCACAGGCAGGGATCAGCAGAAACCCGATGTAGCTCTAATTAACAGTCTACCAAATGCCTAGGAATAATAGCCTGAGCCTTCAGCATCCAGAAGCCTGTTTGGCTGTCCCTGATGAGGAATCAGAAAGCTTGGTTGTAACCAAGCACGGAAGGGTCTCTGTGAGGTATATTTACACCAATGTGCTAACAACTCTGTTCTTTTGTAGCTTACATACGTGCCTGTCCTTGACAGAAACAATTAAAAAGCCCCACAAGACCATTAGTTGGTAGCTTGAAACAAAAATTTGAAGGTTTCGCATTAATGAGCAATCAAAATTCAGTGTTTATCACAGGAGAAAAAGACCTAAATGCATTTGCATTATGTGCAGATGCCCTCTACTCACAAGATCCATCACCTAAATCTTCACAATAGGAGCAAAACCAGCTTTTCTTAAATTTACTTGGCTGTCTCAGCAGAAAGAGCGAGGTACTTACACAGGAAACATATTTGAGTTTTTAAATCACAACAGATGCTCTTTGCTGCAGGTCTGAAAAATCGGAATCCCTGATTCTGAACCGTCATTCTTCTAGTGAAGATTTCGAGCCACAAGTTCTTTTTTCCAAATAAAATGTCACTGAAACTTCTCATCCGTACCAGATTTAATCCCCTCAGCACCATGACTGTTCTAGCAGTGTATGTGACAAACAGCCTCTAAGAAAATAAGCCTTTCAATTTTTTTAAAGGATTATGGTTTGATTTTGTTTGATTTTTTTTTAGGGAAGAATAATACCTAAGAGTCATCTGTTGTCCAGCTGGTTGGCAACAATTACAAGATGCATGTACTTAGCATCGTCCTTGCTTAGGCTGCTCAGAGTCAGAACAGAGGCTACGCCAACCCCAATAACCAGCACCAACCACAGTTTTGGGGCTTCATCAGCTGTGGTGAAGGAGAGACCTCTTCCCCTCCCTTGCTGTTCAGCGTCACATCATGACACCTATGCTATAGCTTTTTACACCTCGTTCAGAGTTTGGTCAGCCTTGGAGACAGGGTAACCGGCTTCACAGACCCGTGGTTATAGGGGCAGCAGGTTGTTAGACATGAAAGTGTCAGGAAACATTTGACTTCCTGCAAACACAGCTCAGCTCTCAGCAATACTGGCCACCTCAGCTCCCGTTCTCTACAAGACAGATAACCTGAATAAGCAAGAAATAAAGGCACATCCTGAAGGCAGAGGGCTGTTTGTCCTGCTTCAGGCCAATCTGGGACTCAGTAATACTTGACCCCTTTACTTTCCCTTCTGCATGGATGAGGAAACATTCAGGCTCACGTGGAGCTATGTCGGTGTCTGTTGTGAACAGTGAGAGTGACATTCTGCCATCCATAACCTCCATACCCCGCCTCTCTCTTCCCACCTCCAGG